TTTGGGAAGCTCTTATCTACCCTCTGAGTCTAAATGATGACTGTTAGGTAAAGTAATCTTGGTTGTACCTCGTTGCTTTTCATCACTTTGAATATTTCCTGCCACTCCCTTCTGGCCTGCAAAGTTTCTGTTGAGAAATCAACTGACAGTCTTGTGGGAGCCCCCTTGTAGTTAACTAATTGCTTTTCTCTTGCTGCTTTTAAGATTCTCTCTTTGTCTTTAACCTTTGGCATTTTAATCATGATGTGTCTTGGTGTGGGCCTGTTTAGGTTCATCTTGTTTGGGACTCTCTGCACTTCCTGGTCTTGTATGTCTATTTCCTTCACCAGATTAGGGAAGTTTTCCATCATTATTTCTTCTAATAGGTTTTCAATCCCTTGCTCTCTCTCTTCTCCTTCTGGTACTCCTATGATGCGAATATTGGTTGCTTGATGTTGTCCCAGAGGCCTCTTAAACTGTCCTCATTTTTTGGATTCGTTTTGCTCTTCTGTTTTCTGCTACCTTATCTTCCAAACTGCTGATTCTGTTCTCTGTTTCATCTAATCTACTGTTGATTCCCTCTACTATGTTCTTCATTCCAGTTATTGTAGTCTTCATTTTTGACTGGTTCTTTTTATGCTTTCTATCTTCATTTTTATGTTTCCTATAGCTTGGTTGAAGTTCCCTCTGAGACCATTATGTGTTTGGAACTCTGCATTTGATAGATTGATTGTCTCCAGTTTGTCCAGTTCTTTTTCTGGAGTTTTGTTCTGTTCTTTTATTTGGGAAATGTCTCTTTGTCTCCCCATTTTGGCTGCCTCCATGTGTTTGTTTCTATGTATTAGGTAGAGCTGCTATGCCTCCCAATTTTAGTAGCGTGGCCTTATGTAGCAGGTGTCCTGTGGGACCCAGTGGTGCAGTCTTGCTGGTCACCTGGGCCAAGTGCTCCAGGTGTGTCCCTTGTGTGGGTTGTGTGTGCCTTCCTGTTGTAGTTGAGCCTTGGTTGCTGTTTGCACATCATTGGGAGGGATTGACCCTCAGGCTGATTAGTTGTAACAACTGTCTGTGACTACAGTGGAGGAGCTGTTGTGCTGGGGCTGACCCTACAGAGCAGGGTTCACTTTAGCAGGGCTCTGGTGTCTGTGCAGTCTGCCTTTGGATGTGTCATCCTTCGCCACAGCCTGTGCCCTGCCTGGGGCTGCCTGGTATGAGCCACAGAGCAATCTGCAGATGACTGTCACCCACACTGGGCTTGGAGGTGCCTTGAGAGGCCAATCTGTGTACTGAGACCAGCTGTCACTAGTTCTGGGCTTAGGGCTGCCCAGCCAGAGGTACAGGACATGCCGAGGCCAGATGCTTCTGATTTGGATTTTGTGAACCTTTGAGAGATTTTTATGAAAGTCTGACACATGAGCCAAGGCAGATTGTTTGTACGGAAAAGCCACTGGAAGCAACTTGGGTGTGCCTGCAAGTTGGGTGGGGCAGGGCCTCAGGGAATCACTACGTCAGGGCAGATGAAAGGTGATAGCCAGTTTGATGGAAACTCAGATGTGATAGCTGCCTGTAGCTGCATGCTTAGTGGGGGAGGGCGCAACAAAGGAACAACGGCTTCCACCAGCTCCTCCATCTGGGAGAAAGCTGCCCCTCCATCCTTGTCCTGCAGCCAGATGAATTGTCAGTTCCTCCCCATATGTCCCTGTCATCTTTCAAGCTGCTCATCCAGCACTGGAGTTCAGAGCAAGTGAGTCCGTCAGTGAGTAAGTCCATACATGGGCCCTTTAAGAGGAGTAGCTGGGACTCCAGCCACCCTTGTGTCACTCAGCCACCGTTCCTGCTGGTTTTCACGGCCAGAAGTTATGGGGACTTCTCCCCCGGGCACTGGAACCCTGGACTGGGGAAGGACTGGGACCTCTCGATCCTCAGGGTGTACCTCCACAGCTGGGATATCCCTCCCAATTTTTAACTACCACACAAAGTGTGGGACTAGCCTATTCCACATCTCTGCCCCTCCTACCAGTCTTGAAGTGGCTTCTTCTGTATGTCCTTATTGTAGAGCTTCAGTTCAGCTAGACTTCAGGCAATTCTCAGTGATGGTTGTTCAGTAATTTAGTTGTAATTGATGTGGTCCTGAGAGAAGTTGAGCAGTGCGTTTACCTACCCTGCCGTCTTTAACCAACCATTTTAACACATTTCAAAGTAAGTTGGAAACACCTGTGCACTTTACCATCAAATGCTTTAGCATTCATATTATTCAATATTGTTTATAGTGTTTTAGGTAATATTTATATAAAGTAAACGGTACATGTCTTCATTGAACTGTTTGATAAGTTTTGAAATAATAAATAAATAAATGTAATGAAAACACCATCAAGATACTGAACCATCACCAGACAATTTCCCCATGCCCCACCCTGGTTAACTTCATGTTTGTTTCTACCCCCAGGAATCACTCACTGTTCTGATATTTTTTTTTTCATCCATAGATTAGAATCCTTCTGTGCAATCATTCTTTCACTCAGCATCATGTTTTGAGATTTCTATCAGTTACTTCATGGATCAGTAGTTTATTCCTTTTCACTGCTGAGTAGTTACTAAACCACCGTACCTAGTTGTTTGTCCAGTCTGTTGATGAACACCTGTGCTATTTACAATTTGGAAATACTATGAATAAAGCTGTTATGAACATTTTTGGGTAAGTTTTTAGGCATTTCTGTTGGGTAAATATCTAAGAATAGAACTGTGGGTCATAGGGTAGGTGTATGTTTAGTTTTATAAGAAACCACAGACTTGTTTCTAAAGTTACTTGTATTCTTTTGCATTCAGACCAATACGGTATGAGTGTTCTGATTGTTCCATATCCTCTCCAAGTTGTTGAAATTTTTAGTAATTCTGGTGGGAGTGGAATGGTGTCTCTTGGTGGTTTTCATTTGCAGTTCCCTGATGACTAATGATAGTTCTTTGAATGTCTTTCACTGTTCAAATCTTTGCCCATTTTTACTTGAGTGTTTGCCCTTTATTGCTGAGTTGTAGAAGTTCTTTTTATATTTTAGATACCATTCCCTTTTTTGGACATATGTTTTGCAAATATTTTCTTCCTGTATGTATCTTGCCTGTTTATTTTTAAATGGAAGATCAATCTTTTGATGAGCAGAAGTTTAAAGTTTTGGTAAAATCTGGTTAGCAATTTTTCCCTTCACAATTACTGCTTTCCGTGTCCCATCTAAGAAACCTTTGCTTGCTCTCAAGTCATGAAGTATTCTCCTATTTTTTTCTAGAAACTCCATGGTTTTAACTTTTATGTTTAGATCCATGTTCTCAAACTAATTGGTGTGGTGAGAAATAGGGCTCAGAATTTCTTTTTATTCAAGGTGGATGGCCAGTTGTCCCAGCATCATTTGTTGAAAAACTTTGCTTTTCTCCTTGTATTGCTTTGGTGCCCTTGTCAAAAATCAGTTGGGTGTACAAGTATGGGCCTGTTTCTCAACTCTTTTTTGTTCCATTGATCTGTTCATCTATACCAGTACCACACTGCCTTGATGACTGTAGCTTCATAGCAAGACTTGAAATCAATAGTGTGTGTCCTCCAATCCTCTTCTTTTTAAAGATTACTTTGGATATTTTCAGTCCTTTGAATTTCCATACAAGCTTGAGAATCAGATTGTCAATATTCTATAACAACAACCAAAAATCCTATTAGAATTATGGTTGGGATTCTAGTGTATCTATAGATCAAATTGGGGAGAATTGACATCTTACAATGTTGATTCTTCTAATTTATAAGCATTGGGTGTTTTTTCATTGATATAGGTCGTATTTAATTTCTCTCAGCAGTGTTTTCTAGTTTTCAGGGTACTGCTCTTGGCCATCTTTTGTTAACTATTTCTAAGCATGTAATTTTTATGCTATTGTAAATAAATTAATTTTTTTCTAATGTTAGCTTCTATCACGTGATCTGCTTTTGTGATGTGAATGTTTGGGCTAACCTTGCCAGCATTTACCTTTCAGACAAACAAACAAACAAACAATCAAACAAACAAAGTTTTATTTATTCATCCCTTCAAAGAGGCAGCAGAGATATAGGGTGTGTTTGGCCCCCACCTGAGAGCCAGGGGACCAAACTTCAGCCTCAGTTTGCCCCTTACTGACTGTAAGTGTAGCCAAAAATGGTAGAATTCCCTCCCTATTTCTGCTGTCACTGAACACAATCAATTTAAGTCCTCATTCTTCGAAGTGGTTTCTGTAATATCTATAGAAATAAAGCTATTAACTCTCGTTACTAATAAATTTGCAAATGTGGTAGAAGCCTTGAATTTTCTACCCAGAAAAGTGTATACATATGTGCACACACACAGTTTTATGTACAAATCGAGGATGTGCAGGCAACCTCTGAAGCCTGTTCTTCAGCCTTTTGAGGTCCACACACCCCCTTTTCAGGAACCCCTGTTCTGGAGTGGGAGGTTCATGAGGTTAGGGGCTGACTTCCTTACCTTCTGCATCTTCAGCGCCCAGCACGGGATGGAGTGAAGGCTCCGATTCTGAACCCCACACCCTTTGTGGGGTTTTCTAGACAGAAAGGGTATAGATTTCCATACCCTCAGGATCTGACCTTTCTTCCTCCACTAGATATCCCCCTGAGCGACACAGGACAATTTGTCTGGACCACCAGCTCTCCCACCAAAGGCTCTGCTTCTCTGTTGCTGTCAGTGAGGTTAACCTGGCCATTCCCATCAGGCAGCTGCCCTGGGTGCCCTGGGGCCACTCCAGGTGACAGTCTTGACGCAGAATCCTCTCGGGCTGAGCCTGACTTCAGTGCCAGCCTCACGCAGAAAGTGCCTCCATCAGGGTGCAGGTCCCAGTGTCTGCTGTTCTTGGTGACACTGGCAGCTTTTCAGGGCGACTCCATTCTCTTCCTAAAGCCCCAGATTTAAGGCACAGACAGCACATTGTGCCCCTCTTTCGAATGACCCCCACGAGCAGCACCAGCCGGGATGGTAATATTGTGTGTGCTTCTGTCCACCCAGGTGCCGGGGACATGGGCAGCAAACTGTCCACGCCAGGCGGTGACCCCACAGCACGCTGCCCTGGGACAGAAGACATTCACATCGCATACAAGCAAGGAGACCCCAGCAGAGCCCGGCACCTGCTCAGAGAGGCTTGTGATGAGACCACATCCCAGCTGGAACGGGTAAGCTCAAAGCCGGCCCCTCCGGTCAAAGCTAGGGGCGCAGGCTGGACGAATGCTGCCACTCAGATTATCCTTTTGTCATCATCATAATCGTAATGGGAATTTTTTTTTATTGTGTTCTGGAAATACCTTGTTTCACATGTAAACTTATGAATGCCAATCATTTCTAGTCGACTTCTCTACCTGTCCTCACCTAAGGGGACTCCCACCTTCCCAGGGGACAAGGGAGGGGGTAACTGACATGTAAAGAACAAACTGTCAAGCTGAGGTTTGCTCTACAGTACTCTATTATACTTTTTTTTTAATATAAAAACAGCACATGCTCAAAAAAGAAAATTTAAAAATACATAGAAGTAGAGAAAAAAGAGCAAGAAAGTCACATGATCTAAATATGTACACCCCAACGATCCTACCTAATACTGTCAGTGTGTTTTCTTCCACTTGCTGGTCTAGCGCACGTCAGTGGTGTTGGTTCTCATTCACATACATTCATACAGTATGTATAGTTTTACCTTTGCTCACATATCAAATCAACGCTTTTCTGTCTGATTATCAACCCCTGATGTCCATCTCCTTTGAAGGCAGCATGATATTCCGACTGGTAGAGAGACTGAAACTTACCCAGCTGTTCTGTTTGGTTGGCTTAGTTCTAATTTTGGATTATTTGGATTATTTCTGGTTTTTTACTAATATAAATAATACTGTATTGAATGTATTTGCATAAACCTTTTTTTGTTATAAGGCTCTCTTCGTTGCAAGGGTTCACAGGAATGGTGAATGTGAGTCTAAACATGTTCCAAGTTTTGAACCATACACCAAACTTTTCTAAAAAGCTTGTAGAGCTCAACCCCCTGACCCACCAACGACTGGTGCGGACCACTGCCACATGCTTGTCCTTGTGGGGAATCCTGGTTGGTTGTTATCCTGGAAGCATTTACTGATGTGTTATTTGCCTTATTTTAAGTAACATAGGTTTAACATGTCTCCGTTTAGCTAGTAGTTAGAAATGATTCAATTCTTAAAGCGCCAGCCTGTTCTCAAACGTGCAAGAGTTTTGTGGGGTTGGGAGGGGAGTAAGTACAATGTGCTTGGGAATTACTGAGCGGAAGGCATTTTGGATTCTTCCAATTCTGAATTCACAGAGGATATGGCCAAAGGCCACCCTTTCATACAAGGAGAGATGGGTTGCCCACATGAGCTGGCCAGAGCCGCGGGCCCCTCGGGTAAGCATCCAGCGGCCTCCCGTAGAGATGGTTGTGCTCAGCAGACAGAGCCTGGAGTGCGTTCCTCCCTCTGCCCATAATAGTAGAATCGAGATATACTTGTGCATTCATGGGCTGGCCCACTTGCACACTCATTAGCATGGCTGCCTTCTGTGAGCTGGGCTATTATTTAAAAAACAAAACAAAAAATCCTAGCTGGTTGGACTTTGAGAAGATGTTTGAAGACAAGGATGGATAAATCTGTATTTTCATAAAAATGTAGAAATTTAATTCCAAAAATAGACCATAAAGAAGAGTCAAAGATTAATGACACACTGAGAAGGACTATCGCCATTGCCCTTAATTGACAAATAATTGTCCTTATTTCAAATCAATATGAAATAACACATTTTAAAAAAAAAAGGACAACAGAGTATGGACAACAGCAAAGTAAGCCTAAAGAAAACAGAAGGAATGAGATTATGAAAATAAGAGCAGAAAGCTGGCACTCAGAGCGAGTGAGTCATTCAGCAAGTCCGTGTGGGCCCTTTAAGAGGAGCGCCTGGGACTCGAGCTGCCCTCCATGTCACTCGGCCACCATCCCCGTTGGTTTTCACAGCCAGAAGTTATGGGGACCTCTCTCCTGGCACTGGAGCCTTGGGCTGGGGACCTGGTATGGGGCTGGGACCCCTCACTCCCTCTACGGCTGAGATGTCCCTCCTGATTTTTCATGGCCACACGTGGGTGTGGGACCAGTCCATTCCATGTCCCCGCCCTCCTTCCAGTCTCAAGGTGGCTTCTTTCGTGTGTCAGTTATAGGACTTTGGTTCCGCTAGACCTCAGGCGGTTCTCAGTGACGGTTGTTCTGTAGTTTAGTTGTAATTTTGAGGTGGTCATGGGAGGAGGTAAGCACAGCATTTACCTGTTCTATTTAGAAAACATTTCTTCTAGACTAGAAAAATTTCTTCTTTGACACAGAACTACTCTTAGGAACTTACCTCTACAGATTTATTTGAAAAAAATTTCCAAGATGTATGCCTAAGGACGTTCATTAAAGTTGTAGTTAAAGTAGCAGAGCCCTGGCAGCCGCCTCCCTGTTAGACAACATATTCAATTCCTATGATTTCAATTCTTTTACATTTTTTGAGGTTTGTTTTATGGCCTAGGTTTGGCCTGGCTTCCTGTGTGTTCTGTGGACACTCGAATGCATTTTGCCTTTTTTGGGTGGAGTATTCGATCCTGATGGTTTATGGCGGTGTTGAACTCAACTGTATCCTTGCTGATTTTCTGTCTACTTGTTCTATCAGTTCTTGAGAGAGAGAGTTAAAGTCTCCAGTGATATGGGGGATTTATCTAGTTCTTCTTTCAGTTATATTGTTTTTTCCACCCACATATTTTGCAGCTCTGTCATTGGGTGCATACACATTAAAAAGCAAACAACCCACTTAGCAAATGTATGAAATGGATCAAGAAACATTTTGCTGAGATGATATACAGATGGCAAAGAAGCCCTTTAAAAAATGTTCAACATCATTCACTATTAGGAAAATTGAAATTAAGGTCACAGTGAGATGTTACTGATCTATTAAGACAGCTAAAATTAAAAAAAAAATAGTGACAATACCAAATTCTGAGGAGAATGCAGGGAAACTGTCTCATACATGAGGTGAGAATATAGAATAGTCCAGGCATTCAGGAAATAGTTGGGCAGTTTCTTAAATAACTAAGAATACACTTACATTATGACCCAGCAATTATACTCCTGAACGTTTCTCCTAGAGAAATGAAAACTTGTGTGCACACAAAAATCTGTGCAGCTTTTATTTGTACAGTTCATTGCAGCTTTATTTGTGATAGCCCCAAACTGGATTCAACCAAAAACTCTGAGCAGGTGACTGGTGAAACATAGCACGGGACACTGCTAAGCAATATAAAGGAGCTCTATTAAAATACTCAGTGACTCAGAGAGATCTCAGGGGTGTTAGCCTGAGTGGGGGAGGGCAATCTCAAAAGGTCATCTTCTGTATGATTCTGTTTATATAGCATTCTCAAAATGACAAAATTATAGAGATGGAAGGAAGGTTAATGGTTGCCGGAGGTTAGTGATGGTGGAGGAGAGAAGGGCAGTTTGCAATTATACAAGGGTACCTTAAGAAGGAGTTTCACTATAATGGGATAGTTTTCTCTCTCTCTCTCTCTTTTTTTTTAATGATTTCTTTTTTTTTTTTTTTTTACTGGGAAACAGTGTGTTTTTCCAGGACCCATCAGCTCCAAGTCAAGTACTTGTTTCAATCTAGTTGTAGA